TTATCCTGATGGGATGAAAATCGGTAATAGTGATGTACATGTACAGAAAAACAAATGATTAAAGCAGTGGTTTCCAACCTTTTTGTACCGGCACCCCCCTTTTAAAAAAAATTGGTGCGCCCTCCTTTAAAAAAAAAATTGTTGCGTCCCATTAATTTATCTTAAAACCAAATTTCATACATACTCAACTGATATTATAATTTATTTAATGGGCTACAAAATAATATACAGTATTATGTAAAAATATAATATATTTATTATAAGAAATATAATACAAAACAAAAAAAAAAAAAAAAAGAATATATAATTAATACTACTACAACATAAAAATTTAATGCAATGGTTGAGCTTGTTTTTTCAGCACAAATTTTCTCAAACCGTGGTATCATTGAAGAAATCGCGGTTCTCAGTTCCTTTTCAATCATTAAGCGAGATCGATACTTTGTTTTTAAGACAGCTACTGTAGAAAAACCAGTTTCACATAGGTAAGATGTTACAAATGACAATAAAATTTCTAAAGCTTTGTTTGTCAAAGTAGGAAAATCGTCCTTTACTCGTAGCCAAAACGTAACAATATTATTTTCATCTCGAAACATCTGCTTTAATGTGCTATCACGAGATAAGTCAATTATCATTTCCTGCTCTGCTGTCATAAGGCCAAAATCATCATATTTTTCAATCACAAATGGGTGTCTAATCCATTCATATTTGGACATGTCAAGATCTTTCAAGTACAACGAGAATTGCTTCCATAGACTGGTCAAATGATTATTAATAAGAACTTTACTTTCTTCTATTTCATCAGCAAGACAGGTAATTTTAAAAGTGGGAAACATGTCAAAGCTATCATTTTTCAAACTTATTATCCACAGTTCCAATTTTTTCATAAATGCAGTAATCTTGTCTTTCTGCGTAAAAGCATGAATTTGAGCCCCTTGCATTGATTTATTTAAAATACTGAGTCTTTGAAAAATATCAACTAAATACGCAAATTTTACAAGGAATTTCGTGTCATAAAACAAGTGTGCTTCATCTCTATTATTATCACTAAGAAATATGGTGATCTCTTCTTTTAGCTCAAACACCCTTTGAAGTACTTTGGCACGAGAAAGCCAACATGCCTCACAATAGTATAGAAGTGATCTATATTCTGAACCCATGTCATCACACAATTTTGCGAAAAGCCTTCCTCTTAATGGGCTATTTTTGATAAAATTTACAACTCTTGTAATAACTTCAAATACTGTTAGTAGATCTTCACCCATATCTCATGAAACAAGTGATTGTCTATGAATCATGCAATGCGTCCAAACTGCACGAGGAGCCACCTTTCGAACTAGTGCCTGTGGACCAGCATTTTTTCCTGCCATAGATGGAGCTCCATCTGTGCATAGTCCAACACAGTTCTCTCACAGAATGCCATTTTCATTTAAATAATTATCAATGATTTTAAAAACATTCCTTGCTGTGGTATTGCATTCAATGGGTTTACAGAATAACATGTCTTCTCTAACATCAGTTTCTACAACATATCTTACATATGTTATCAAGTGTGCATCCTTAAGAACATCAGTAGCCTCATCTACTTGCAATGCAAAAGAAGATAGTTTTACTTTTCTTATTAATTGATTGCAAAGATCTTCAGATATATTGGATATTTGTCTTCCCACCGTATTATCTGCAAGTGGAATGATTTTAAGTTGATCAGCATATGATTCACCGAGAATCGTTTCTATCATGTCAATAGCTGCAAGTAGCACCAAAGTTTCTCCTATTGATTGGGGATTTTTGCATTTAGCAATTCTATAAGAAACTTTATATGATGCAAGCAATGCTTTTGTGTTACAGACATGGTCTTTGAAAACATTTCTTGTTGTTTATTTAAATTCTCTAATTTTCTTTGGAAAAATTCTCTTGTCTTGCCAACGGGATCTGCATGTACTTTTTCAAGATGTCATTTTAATTTATTTAATTAAAACAACGTATATTCGTTTTATTTTATTTGGTTCATGCTGTCTGAGGTCAAAGTATTCATACACAGCAAACACAATGGTCGTTCTTGGCCATTAATAACCTTATATGTAAATCCTAATGATAAGTACATTGGATCATATTTTCTATATTTAGGTTTACTATTTTGCGAAGATGTATTTCCAATATTTTCATCATCTTTTCTTTTGCCCTCTGCTTCTGCTTCATTTAATTTTCTTTTCAAGTCAGTTGCGTATTTATCCATCTAAAAGTGGTATTATTTTAAATCAAGGACTTTATATTAATTTAAAATACAATACAATTATATCTATATTTTCTTTTAAATTAAATATCAGTCTTAATTGGGATAATTTTTAAATGTAGAATTAAAAACATTTTTTGTCAAAATTAATTACTGGAATATAAACAACATAAAAATAACTTGCGCTCTTCTTACATAAACGTGAATTTTTCCAATAACAATATTAATATTACTCAATTAAAATGGTTACTGGTAAATTTACGAGAAAGTAAAAAAGCGCTAGTAGTGAAAAAATAGTATATTAACATCGGCCAGGATGTTATTTTATTGTTTCGGATGTTTATAACCCTGGCACTTCGCGCTCATGCCGAAAAACTACCTCAACATTAAATTAACATTTCCTGGTTAATAAGGTACTATTATAACAGTTATGAAATTTACCTCAATGTTAATTTATTTAGAAGTTACCAAAGCGAAGTGTTTCATTCTATATATCAACGTGGTTATCGCAAGCACTACTAACGAACTAATTCTGTTCATAGAAAACAGAAACAATCAGATGCTTCTGTTTACTGAAGTTTGGCGCGAGTAAGCACGAGAATACCCGGGATATTGCGAGTGCTTATCTTTTGATTCCACGCCCCACCGGTGATCAGCTCCAAACGTGAAAGCGAGATATTTCGTTCCAAGAAGAGTATGGATGGTGTAACAACAAAGTTCAAATGAATAAAGGTAAAAATATCTCTTACCTTTTCGAATCCGGGCGGCGAGTATTCCATCGACATGAAGATCGTCAAAACTGTAAACTAAATTTAAGGCACATCCTTCTATAGAGATTACAATAAAATTATTATTATTATTATATACATATATGCAGTCATAATTGATTTACACTTAACATCCATGATAATTAAACGCGCTTTCAGATACAAAGCGGTTCCAATTTTCCTACTGCGTAGCAGTTTGACTGTCTCCTCCTACGCAAATCGAGTTCAAAGTTTTTTACTTAGGAATTAATTCTAAAGTTCGCTAGATGGCGCTGGGAGTTCAGAGTCCAGTTGTAACAGATGGGATGTTTTAGCATTTGTACCCGAAAAATTCGCGGCGAGGATTGTGGATTATGTATAGTGCTGATTCATTTTTTGACACCTATTCAACTTTTTTGGTTTGTATTCGAAAATGATATTTTAGAAACAGCTGCATGCCCCCCTTTCAACAGTCTCGTGCCCCCCTGGGGGGCACGCCCCACAAGTTGGAAACCACTGGATTAAAGTTTGAGAAAAATTGTATGATGTATTGAAGTGATAGAGCTTTGCAAAGTGAAAAAGTCAGTAATATGTTTGTCCACCTGTGGGCCTTATACAAGCTGTTATTCAGCTTGGCATTGATTGATAGAGGTTGTGGATGTCCTCCTGAGGGATATTGTGCCAAATTCTGTCCAACTGGCATGTTAGATCGTCAACATCCCAAGCTGATTAGAAGGCCCTGTCCATAATGCTCCGAACGTGCTGAATAGGAGAGAGATCCGAAAACCTTGCTGGCCAAGGTAATGTTCGGCAAGCAGTAAAAACGTGCAGTGGGGGGGCTTAGCGAAATGCAAAGCTGAAATCATCGATTGATTATCTTGCTGAAATGCAAGCCCAGGGTGTTGTGCCATGAAGAGCATCACAACGGGCCTTAGAACTTTATTGACGTACCGCTGTGCTGTAAGGTTGTGACGGATGACAACCAAAGGTGTCCTACTATGAAATGAAATGTCACCCCAGACCATCACTCCTGGTTGTCGACCTGTCTGCCGCAAGACAGTCAGGTTGGTATCACACCGTGGTCCAGGGCGTCTCCGGACTCATCACTGAAGACAATTCTACTCCAGTCAGTGACATTCTAGTGCAAATGAGCCCGACACCCATACAATCGATGATAATGATGCATCTGGGGCTGTGAGTGCCGCTCTGACGATTGGTCGGTCTTCACATTCTGTCGTTTCTCTAGGCCTACCACTTGCTTCTTGATGCTGTGTGCAGCCATGGTTCACCCATTCCTGCCAACATCATCTAATAGTGGCATCGCTCCTGCTCAAATGTCAAGCTATTCACAAGACCAATTGGCTTCTTTAAGCCCAACTACACGACCTCTCTCAAATTCTGACATCTGTGCATATCGTTCACGCATCTGTATGCGAGGCATAGTTACTGCTTGCCAGAGTACGCGGAATGAAATTCGTGAAGAATTTATGACCTGGAATCATAATTTCTCCTCTTAAATAGCCTGCCAGGTGTGCAGATCAGATGCGCTGTAGTGACAACCGTTCAGTTATTGGCAGCCAAAATGTTAAATTTTGCATTTTCCATCAAAACCTGTATGCATATCAATTTGTGTCCAATTTGCTTTATATCTTTTAGGTCCGTCTTTTTTTTTTTTTTTTTTTTTTTTTTGTCTGTCTAAGTGTGTATATTCATACTTTTTATATGTATAATATATATAATATATACAAACATGAACACGTACATCCATACATACATTTCTGAATCCGATCCTGATAACAGAACAGTACCCCTACTTCCTTAAATAGGAAAAATGGAATAGCCTTTAAAATTATGTGACAGATTTCTCTTTAATTTAAGTGTCTGAAAAATTCATTGTCCAACAAATTATAAAAATTTTCAGTTTTTTAACTGTTTTCAGTCAAAAAATTTATTTCATAAAAACAACTAGTATTTTCATATCTATAATAAAATTGTTTCAAGTATTATTTTTGTATTCCTAGAGTTATTCCTAATTATCAACTGGCCGAAATACACAGAGCAAGACTTCGGAATTTAAATCCTGTATATGGAAATTGTCCTGTAAGTAGTTTCAAATAATCATGTTTTGAAAATCTGATATATGTAAGTGCTTTTTTAATTGTTAATTTGTTAAGAAAAGTGTATCATTCTAGATTATACATTTGCATGTACTAATTAGTACGAATATTTTGTAGTTCTTTATGTTTAGTTTGTTCATTTATTTACAGGTCAAAACTGTAAAGTATTTATTTGATAAATAATAAATAATATTTGAGTAATTACGGCATTTTATAAATTTTAATACTATGCTTTTTAACTGTAAGCAAAAGGCTGTATTTATTTAAAATTACTAAATATGCTTTGAAATATTTTACATTTAATACATGAATTTAATGATAAGTTCTGTAAGAATTATTAATGTATGAGTAGACAATCTATTCAATTTTGTGTAATCATTAAAAAATATTTCATTAAGGATAGCTCTTTGTTTTTATAATTTTAAATAAATTTAAAACCATAGCATTAAAAAGCTTATTTATTCAAAAAAGCTAGAACAAAATAATGTATCTGAGTACATTTAAATTAACATATAATTTTAAAAAGTTCTCTTTTAAGTCATTTTGTTCCATAAACTATGTGCATTTTTACTGGCCAATCTTCCAATATATGACAAAGAAGGGGGTATTCATTTTTTAATTGATTTTTATTTTGTAATTTTAATCCATTTTCAATTTTATTTTTAGGTGCGTCCTGCTACTGGTTTAAGAAATTTAGGAAATACTTGTTTTATGAATTCCATCATTCAGTGTCTGTCCAATACCATTCCATTAGCTGACTATTTTACTACTGGTCAATACATGGATGATATTAATCGGTACAATACTTTTTATTATTTTTTATAAAGATGTTTCTTATGTGTACCTGTAGTTCTGTTAACTTTTACAAAAATTGTTAACTTTTCTGAGTACGGGTGTGGCAATCCCGAGGTACCCTAACCCTGCAGGAGATCATCTTGGTGAGACGGGTGTCACGATCCTAGAGCCCCAGTGATCTCTTCTGTCTCCTCGCCTCTGACCTGGAACCTTTTCCTTGCCTTCTCCCTTGTAGTTTTCCACTTAGGAGGTTGGGGCTTGTCATAAGAGGCTATTACAGCTCTTGTATTTAGCTTCGAGTGGCGAGTGTCGTGTTTGCCAGTGACGTGTGTAGAGACCCGTGTCACTGGAAAGGAGGGTCCTGCTAGTTGACGGACGAAATACTGTCCCCAACACACTGCTTTGGCTCTGCTTCTAAACAGGTGTGAATCGGCTGGTCACTAGTCCTTGTGTTAGTGGCTTGGGGATAAGCTCTCTTTCGGGAAAGCCGAATGTGGGGCTTTAGTTTGCGTATAGGTCTGGCTAACCCTAACACAGGTTTCTGTGTTCCCTTGTTGCGCTCCGTGGTGGACAGGGTGGTTGGACCTGAATCTTTCCTCTTTCAAATATGGCTCAATCAAATTTAAATACTTTGATTGAACATAATTATGCATTCAAAAAAGCGAAAACAAATGAAAATGCCAATGTTAGTTTACTCAATAGTCAAACTCGTTTTATAGTCATAAACAACTCTACCAGGCAGCTTAAAAATATGTCACCATTTCTGATTCAAAAATATATACAGTCATGTGCAGGAGAACCAAAAAACATAAAACAACTGTGTTCTGGAGTCCTTTTAATTGAAACTTTTTCTTCCAGCTAATCTACAGCTCTTCTTGGCTTAACCAAACTTGGAAATGTGGAAGTCTCTGCCTCAGCACATAAGACACTGAATTATTGCCGAGGAGTGATTTCAGAAACTGATCTTCTTTTTCTCTCGGATGAGGAATTCGTCTCTGAACGCTTGCATCAGAATGTGTGTTCTGCAAAGCGAATCAAGATATGTAAAAAAGGTCAGCTGATTGATACAAAGCACATCATCCTGACCTTCAGACACGCCTGAGTTGCCAAAGAATATAAAGGCCGGTTACTTATGGTGTACTGTTAGACCTTATAATCCAAACCCAATTGTGGTGTTACCAGTGTCAGCAGTTTGGCCATTCGAAAGTATCCTGCTTTCGGGATTTCAGAGAGCATACTTACTTCCACCAGCCTACGAGGACTTTACACAGCATTGACCTCACTATTTGTTCACCATCTCTGCTTCCATTTTGCAAGTTTAATGTCAGAAATGACCTACATGACAGTGACCATTTTCCTGTTTTTATAACTTTTGCAGATGAAAAGGTAACCCCTATTTCTAGACCTGCATGTTTCATTCTAGGGAAAGTGGATTGGGATCTTTTTCCCTTTTGTGCAGAGCTTTCAAAAGAAATGGTGAGCTACGTCATATAGATAATGCAATGGGAACTGTTACTGAGATCATTATTCAGGCAATTGTATTCCTCTCTCTTCTTCAAGATTACAAGAATACCCCAAACCATGGTGGAACCGACAGTGCCAAGAAACTCAAAGACTGCAAAGAAGAGCTTGGGGAAAGTTTCGCTGATATCCTACATTGTGCAATCTAATAGCCTTCAAAAAAGCCAAACGAATGTACGAAGAGTTAGAAGACAGAGCCCGAGGGACTCTTGAGTACCCTATGTGTCAACAATCACATCCTTTACATTAAGTAAACGAGTGTGGGAAAGAGTAAAGAAAGCAACTGGAATATACAATAACCAGTCACTTTCCATTTTGGAAAAAGGTGGCAGAGTGATAAGCAACATAGAAGAAATTGCAAATACAATTGGGAAGTGTTTTGCTGCAGTCTCTGGTAGCAACAGTTATCCACAAGCATTTCTTTCTGTCAAATTCCGAAAAACTTCCAATTGTGTTCGACTCTCCCAACTCTGAGTCATATAATGTGGAGTTTACCATGTTTGAGCTTAAAAGAGCCCTTATGAAGACACGTAGATCTAGTCCAGGTCCTGAGGCAATTACGTATGACATGATAAAGCATCTTTCCTATAATTCTTTGAATTCCTTCTTAGTCTGTTTAATAGAGTGTGTAAAGAGAACTTCATCCCCAGTACATGGAAGAAAGCTGCTGTTATACCTATTGCTAAGCCAGGTAACGACCCAAGAAATCTCTGAAACTACCAGCCAATCGCACTTACGAGTTGCATTTGCAAATTATTTGAGAAAATGGTAAATCACTGCCTTGTCTACTATCTGGAGAAAAACAGTATAATCTCTGCCTATCAGAGTGGTTTCCGAAAGGGCAGTTCAACAGTAGAGAATATGCTTCATTTAGAAACATCTATTTGCCAAGCCTTTGTAAAGAAAAACCATTTGGTTTCAATATTTTTTTATATGGAGAAGACATATGATAGGACCTGGAGATATGGCATTCTCAGGGAGCTGTATAATTGTGGTTTACGTGGTAATATGCCAATTTTCATCTATAATTTTTTTAAGGCTAGGACTTTCCAAGTGAGACTTGGTTGTGTATTATCCAAGGTCTTTTATCAGGAAGAGGGTGGGCCTCAAGGAAGTGTTTTAAGTGTAACATTGTTTAGCTTAAAAATAAATTATATTTTAAAAGAACTTCCTCCTTCTGTTTCTGGTACATTATATGTTGATGACCTCCAAATAAGTTGTCAAGGAGCAAACAGGAGATATATAGAGAGACAATTGCAACTTAGAATTAATAGAATCATGAGCTGGTTGAATCAACATGAATTCACCTTTTCAAGCTAGAAGACCGTTTATGTGCATTTCTGCAGAAAGCAGAATTTGCATCCTGAGCCTAAACTGTATATTCATGGGTCGTTGATTCCTGTTCATTCAGAAGTTAAATTCTTAGGAATGATATTCGATCATAAACTGACTTTCATTCTTCATGTACTATATTTGAGGAAGAAATGCTTTAAAACATTGAATCTTCTTAAAAGTCTTAGCGAATACCTCTTTGGGTGCAGATCGTTGCGCTATGCTACATATTTACAGGAGTCTCATTCGCACTAAATTGGATTACGACTCGGTGGTTTATGGCTCAGCATGGCCTTTTGTGTTGCTGAAACTAGATCTCATTCATTACCAGGCTTTGAGGACATGTTCTGGAGCATTTAGAACATCTCTTATCCAAATCTTTTATGTGGACAATTTTGAACAATCGCTCCTTTTAAGGCGTGACCAGTTGTCTCTCTGCCATTATTTCAATATAAAATCACAATCAGAACATCCTGTTGAGATCACTTTACAAAATCACATGTTTGATCACCTATTTGAAGCACGGTCATCCTGCCTGCCTTAGTTCTCCATAAGAGTGCGATCACTGATTAATGAGTATGGGTTATCCAATATAAATGCCCAGTCTGTAAGCACTTTGATATTCCACCTTGGGAGAATGCACAAGTAGAACTCCTTGATGTTTTTCACCAATTCAGGAAAGTGAATACAAACGATATCATCTACAATCAGCTTTTCCTTGAGCACAGCCAAAAATACAACAGTTATACCCCGATATTACACGGACAGTTCGAAAGCAGCCAATCGTGTCAGAGCTTCCCTTGTGATAGGAAATCACACGGAGGGTAGATGCTTGCATAAGGCTTGCTCAGTACTAACCTCTGAATTAACAGCCTTTTATTATGCCCTATTTTACATATCTACCTGTGCCATGAAAATTCTGTGTGCAAGAAAGAGTTTATTATCTACACTGACTCTTATAGTGCACTAAAAGACCTTAGAATCATATTCAGACACTCACAACCCAATAACTGTAGATGATCTTAAGCTGAGCTTAAACTTGTGGAGCTGAGGATATTAGATTTTGTATTGTTGGTTACTCGGACATGTGGGGATAAAAGAAAACGAACTGGCAGACATCGCAGCTAAATCCACTCTTGATACGTTATGCCAGTTTGTCCCATGCAGAGACATCTGCAAGGTCATCAAGAGGAAAGTGCTAAAAAAGTGGCAACTGCTATAGGATCTACAATCGAATAACAAGCTAAAAACTTTAAAACCTCTGATTGTATATTGAAATGCAACTAGAAGCCGGAAGGAGAAGGTTCTTTTAACACATCTTAGAATAGGCCATTGTTCGAGCTACACATGGTTACCTCCTAAACACCAAGAATGAACCTATCTGCTCAAAGTGCAAAGCTATTTTATCAGTTCATCATATTTTAGTAGACTGCCCAAACCAAACGACATTAAACTGGCTTAAAACATTTTTAAGGAACTTCATTTTAAATACTTGAACAGCTATGACGTACTTTCTTTAACCAGAAAAGAGGTGAATGACAACCTGTTTTCATATCTAAAAGAGATTGGATTTTATCATTTAATTTGATCTACTTTGCAGTTTTTATAAAAGTTCCAAATATTTTAATGTGTGTTTTTACCTTATGTGTTTTTACTCTTCGTTTTCAAGTTTCATTCTGTTGATTAGTCACTTCATCATCATCACCACAAACATATTTTAATACTGGTTTTATCTTTCATCTGTATAGATTCAAAATTTCACCATTCGTTTGGCACATTATAGCCTTAAAGTTTATGTGCCATGAAACTCACAAACTCGGGTATTTTTTATCAATTTTACTGTGGAAGTTCCTTATTTTTACATATAAGTGGAGTTCGATTAATTTGCAGAAGAAAAGTAAATTAATATTTGATTGCAGTAAAATATGGGAGAACTGTGTTATATGTTTGTTTTTGTAGAAAAATTTCAGTATAGCAGAGAACATCTGCTATCTATCTATATTGAATATCCTATCTATATTTGAATAAATTCAGAGGAATTAATTTATTCTACAGAAACAAAACCTGAGAAAAATTTATATGTATTCAAAAGATAAGTCCTTGGCTACAAGTGGAACTTATAGAATTCAAATAAACGTTTTCATAAATTATTTAACTATATCCAGCATTTGGTTATATGAGTATGAATTATAATTATAAAAAAAATGTGATGTATGTTGAATTGAAAAAAATCAAAGGTTTTTCAATTCAACATACAATTATTGTGTCTTTAATCAAAGGTTTATCAAACTAATAACTTTTAAGAACAGTAATAAAAGTTTAAAATATTAACTTTGAAGGTTATGGTAGAAAACCTTTTTTGTGCACCATCGGGTATCATATAAAGTCATGTACTTCAAAACTGAAGCAGAAGTTTGTCTGTTTGCTATAAATATTTTGGATAAAACCTGGATATTGGTGAAATATTTCATTTTAAAGAAAATTTTGCGGCTTTGTCATAAATTATTATTTAAAATAAACATATGTGAAATTAAATTTTCCATAAGAAATTGGCAAAAAGTTTGTCCCAAATTATGTTAAAAAGTACTAACTTCATCTCATACTTATGTTTGAATGCTTATTTGAATGTATCTAATAATCCAGGTTATTCATATTAGCTGTTAAGCAAAATACATCTATCACATATTATGTAAGTGAAAAAAAAAATTTTTTCCCCCCTTCAAAAATTTCTACTTAGGCATGCAGTTATATTTTGCATTTTCTTTAGCTCTGAACATTGGTGTTTACTTCAGATAGATCCATCATGATTTTTACATCAGACCAGACAATAATTTTAAAAGGTATCCGATTTGGGTACCATATGAATTATCTGTACAGATTAAATTATACACATTTTTTGCTGCATTTCATTTAAAAAAATACATTAAACTCAAAGCATCTTCAGTAAAAGTTATAAACTACAGAAAATAATAAAACACCAAATGCGGTTGAAAAATAAAAACAATTTTTAGATAAATAAAAACAATTTTTACAATTAAAATTAGAGATTCTAAGCTGAAACAAGCAGTTTGGCCAGGGTGCATGAAGACAGATTTTTCAGTGCACAAAAGTCTACTTTTGGTCCCACTTGGCAAAAAGACTAAGTTGGTGCACAAACTGACTTGATTCAGAGTTTTAAATGCAAACAAACAGCTTCCAGGTTAGGCGTATGTGGCTTTTATACTTTTAAATTATTGATAATTCTACAGCTACTGCATGCAGATTAACTAAAAGCATAAAAACGTTGACCAGAGCATAAGAACAACATAATTCAGTCACCTTTTAAAGCAAAAAAATGCACTATTTCCAACATATATTATGAGTGGGTGTATATATATATATATATATATAATACTGGATGATGTATATGTATACAACATATATTAATGGTAGAAGTGTATGTGTGTGTATATATATATAGAGAGAGAGAGACTTTTGATACTGCCAATTACAACAAAAAAGGGAGGGGCACAAATACATGTTTTAGCAGTCCTGTATACAAAATTTCACTGTTCTACAGCTAATTGTTTTTGAGATATGTGATATGATAATATATATATATAACTTATTATTAGGGGTTGGTGAACACACACACACAACATGTATTAGGTGTAGCTGTATGTGTGTGTATATATATACTTTTGGTATTACCGATTGCAACAAAAAAGGGAGGTGCACAATTGCATGTTATAACAGTCCTACATACAAAATTTCAACATTCTACAGCTAATTGCATTTGAGTTATACGAGATACGTACGTATGTATGTATCTCACATAATACACACCTTTTCCAAATGTCTGTTGGATATATATTAGGGGTAAGTGTATAGACGTCATGAAAAAAAATCTGTTCTGAATTCATTTTGGAAAGAATATCCTTTATTTTGTCTGTACATACGGATGTTATGTAAAAAAAAAATTTCATACAGATTCAAGAGTGGGCAAAATGGATATTCTCGTTGAAATATGATAGCCAAAAAATATGTTTTAAAACTAGGATTCTCTTTCAAATCAAAATTTGATAGGCCTGTACATAATGCATTGAAGATTTACCTTAGTTTAAAGTATGCCTTAAAAATTTATCCTCATAATTAAAAATAAAGTGTTTCCATCAGAAGAGTGCATCTCGCCCAGCAATATGTACTTAATGAAATCACAATGACCAATAGTTTATATTAATTAAACAAAGGTTACCTTTAGTTAAAAAATTATAACCCCCTATTCTAATATTTTTTGGAGAAAGCTATAAAAATTAATAAAAAGGCACTAAAAGCAATTAGCAATTTGTAATTTTTATTATTATTATTATTTATTTATTGATTAATATTAAAATTAAGGTATGCAAGAGCAATTTTTTTTTTTTTTTTTTTTTTTTTTTTTTTTTTTTTTTAGAATTTTATTTGTTAAAAAAAATTGCTTGAGAAATTACGAGCCATCTGCAATAGGAATCAATTTTTATTTTAACAAATTAGTTATACATTGGTTTGAAAAAATTATAGAATTATTCAATTATTTCAAGCATCTATAAATGTAAAGTATTAAAAGTATGTTTTACGTAAGTCTCTTTGTGTGTGTGTTAAAGATTGTTGTGTGTTTGTTAAATGCATTGTACTTATCTCTTCTATATTCTTTATTCTAATAGGGATAGTCGGCAGAGTGGTGAAGTGGCAGAAGAATTTGCTGTTGTTATCAGGGCTTTGTGGATGGGCCAGTACAAATCATTTTCTCCCAAAGACTTTAAGGTAGAGATATAATTCTCATGTGCTTTTAAAAGCTCATTTGTTCAAGAATAAATGTGATTATTCATTTTTTAAGTAGATTTGCTTTCTGTACTTAATTTTGTTAGCTTGATGTAAAATAACTTTTTTGTATAGTCTTATTATATTTCTGTTGTGTCTTCCTAAGCTATTATTAAAAATATTTAGTTCTCATCAAAGTTTAAAGTACTGCTGTTGTTCTAGCCAAATTTTTGTAGCAAATTGCATACTTGGATCATTTTAATTACTTAAAATTTTTTTATATTATTTTATGATGATATGGTTAGGGATCATATAAAGTGCACCAAATTCTGCATATTTAAAGCATTTTCTCTTTGGGGGGGGCTTAGTGTGTTTGTTTTCAAATCAAAAATGCCTAGTTTAAAATTGAAAGTAATTTAAAATTTACAGCATTTTATATACTTCAGTTGAGGTAATAAAATAACAGAAAGTATTGAGCCAGGGATGAGCCAACTCCGGCCGACTAAAAGGTTCTATCTGGCTGTGGATAGAATTTTCATTTGTCGGTCCGAGGCAAATTAAAAGAAATATATATTTATATATTATATATCCATCTCCTTTTCTACAGAACATAAATCGTCGGAAATAGCAAACACAGACAGCTTTCAATCGGTAATGTGTCAAACTCGGAAGTTCTTTGTTAGTTATAGCTATAGATTGGCACCAACAAGCGCTATCTCTTTCTCAGGGAGCAGACATACAGGAATCCAATATAGGTGAATCAGATCTCACATGTAGCAGATTGCGCATTTTAAACTCCTGCCAGCGGCTTTTTCTTTTGATGCGAGTTCCAATATTATTGATTGTGTATGGAAAAATTGCTGACATATAGCATCATTGTGAATAGTGGTGAAATTATTAAAAGTATAGTGTAGCTAGTACTTGTTTGTGTTATTCATAAAATATTTGAAACCCAAAATGTCTACTAAAAAATGTAAAGTTGATTCAGAGTGCCATGCTTTTAATGATGAATGAACCTGGAAATTTTTTTTTTTTTTTTTTTTTTTATGTAGTTGTAAAAGGTAAACCAGTGTGTCTCATCTAAGCATAAGGATTTCAATTATGAAGCAATGTCTGAATAGTGAAAGAAAACAAAATGCAGAAAATCGTTATAAAAAATTATCAGGCCGACAAACTTTTTTCAAGAAGGTCAACAGTAGCCAAGAAGCAGCTACACATGCAAGCTACATTGTAGCATACAATATTGCTAAAAATAATAAAGCTCTCATTGATGAGGAGTTCATTAAACAATGCATGTTCCAAGTTTGTGATGTTTTATGTCCAGACAAGAAAAATAATTTTGAGACTGTAAGTTTATCTTGGAAAACAGTGACTTTTAGAATTGAACACATTGAAAGAATACATTAACATGACAATCAAAGTCAAAAATTGGCCAGTTTAAATTTTGCTCCATACCAGTGGATGAAAGCACTGATATAAATATTACTGCTGAATTAGTATTATTTATAAGATGTGTTGATGAGAACTTTGAAATTACTGAGGAACTGGTGTGGTGGACCAATTCCCTGGCCCCCATGCTCACCGGATTTATCAAGCCTTGATTTCTTTTGCAGGAAGCCATCAGAAGTGTCATGTATCACAATCCTGTTGTGTCTGAAATGGATCTCGTGGCAAATTCAAAATCCTGTTGTGTCTGAAATGGATCTCCCATGCGCAGCTGCTAGAATGAAAGAAACTTCCGGTGTGTTTGAACATGTCTGGCAGTAAATGGTCCATCGGTGTTAGGCATGTTTGGCATCTAATGGTGCAAACTTCGAGCATCTGTTGTAACATTCAAGCTATCATACACCATTTGTATTCATGTCCAATAAATGTTGCAAATTAATCACTCTTGTTTCTTTTCCTATCTTCTACTTCTGCTTCCAATTACCCCTGAGATTTCCGGGCATGGGTTCCTATGCAATTCTTATTCCTTATGATGTGCCCTACCTCCCCTAAAAGTTTGTTGCAACATTTGCGGTACACCCTGTATATATTTTCCCTGAGGGATTTGTTAATTGATCATTGCTTTTCCAAGTAGTAAGAATGCTACTCTAATGGATCACTGTATGTAAACTAATGTTCCAAAATTTTGAAATACAGTGGGTGATTGGTTAACGAACATAATCTGTTACAAGACTGTATTCGCTATCCGAATTGTTCTTTAACCAATCATCAATTTACTATAGACTTTTTTTGCAAAATCGATTAATTCGTTCTGGAGACCCTAAAAATCAAATTTAAGAAAAGAATGTATAATTTCTTAGTAAGTTTATTAAAAAAAATACATACATATAGTCTTGCATATTAATCAGTCCTTTCCGTTTTTTGTTTATGGGGTGTAAAGAACATGTCCAATGTCGATTGCTTTTCTCTCTTTTTCATGATTTTCCGGAAGTGATTAATAGCATTGTTGTTGTAAAGATCCCCAACCCTACTGACATTCGCTTGGTTTGGGTGCCATTCTAAGACCATTGCTCTAACATCCTCCCACTTCTTCAAAAGATCTTTAATGGCAGATGTTGGCATTAGTCTTCTTTTGTCTTCCTCTTGTTCAGGAGGAGACGCATTTCGCTGAGTTTCTTGGTGTTCTTCATTCAAGATTTGTTTTGTTCATTTAAGAATGTGCTTCATTCAAGAGTTTTTTTGTCATCTGTTCATATAATTTCAGGGGTGTCTTCCTAATCACCTCTGTCTCCTTGAACGAAAGATGAACACAGCTTTCACAATTTTTTCTTCCAGTATAGTACTTTGAAGTTTAATAGGCAAGCAACATAATTCAAGAGAGATGAAAAACAATTTTTGTTCCGTTGGGTTTGGCAATCCTGCACGTTATGCTCCTAGAGCCGAGACGTGTTCGTTAATCAAACACAAAAATCTTTCTCGAAAGTATTCGTTGTCCGATTTGTTCGCAATCTGAACTGTTTGTTAACCAATCACCCACTGTATAAAGCATTTTTAACCAAGTATTTCAAATAAAAGTATGTTAATTGCTGCAGAAGCATCTTGTCTTGTATCCAACAGTTTGTCATTGGTGCCTAAAGCCAAGAGCCTTTGTTCACTTTTTCATAATAAAATGTTTTGGCTGTGTGAGTGTTTTTCATCTATGTGCATATCTTTGAGGTATTATATTTATGAGGAATACTCCATAAAGGTAAAGCTTGAATAACTTATATGCAATCCAGTTTCTTTTATAAAGTTTTTCCCAAAAGCCTCTATGTCTGGAATGGTATGTTTTTATTTTAGAAAAAAAAAAAATTGATTTCTTTGGTATCAAGCTTTTATGTGGGAGCTGTTTTGTTACATTTATGATTTACCGTATTTGCTGGGGCAGTGTTTCTTAACCTTTCTAGCGAGTCGCACCCCATTGAATCTGAAAATATATCTCCCGCACCCCATTGAAAAATGTGTTTTAATTTTTTTGGTCTAGGAAAATACATTTTTTGCGAAACTTATTGTTTATTGAAAAACATTGTACATTATATATAAATAAATACAAACAATATTATTTTGTATTAATGACTAGTCTGTTGTCGTTTGTTCATTATTATGCTGGCGAAGCGAGGTTCCTTTTTTGAAAGACATACGCGTAAGTCATCACTTGCATTTAAGCGATTTCTCGCTTTAGTTTTTATATGCAAAAGCGATGAAAATCCCATTTCGCACAAGTAGGTGGTAGCAAAAGGTAAGAGTAACTGCAGTGCTCCGTTCGCCAATTCTGGATAACGTTGTAACTGTGAACACCAGAATTGCTGCAATTCTAATTGTTCGAATTCCATTTGAACATGTCCACTTTGCTTGCATTTCAATAAGATGATCTTTTTTCAGATCACTATCATCCATCAAATTTTAAGTCAAAATAGAAATGGATCCAGTATCCAATCCATCTCTGAGTTTTTGGTAATATTTCCTGGTAGAAAAATATCCATTGAATGATTCGCTCAATCGTCTCAATATGTATTACAATGTCGGGTATAATTGTATTCTTTTTCATTTTTCACAATAACAGAATCAAGCAAAGGAAAGTTTGCAAAATTCCCCTTTTCTACTCGACGTATCCAAATTTCTAATTTTGCGATAAATGAAGATAATTTTTCACTAGATATTATTATATTTATACCAAATCCTTGCATTGATAGATTCGGTTCATTTAAATGGCTAAATATGTCTGCTAAGTAGGCCAGCCTCAGCATTGCATCATTACCCTCAAAATCTTTTACTAAATAACAGTTTTGACTAGTTAGTAATTGAATAATTTCTTCACGCAATTCAAAAACTCTGTTAAGCATGCGACCCTTAGATAACCATCGTATTTCGGTGTGATATAGGAGCAACTGTATGATCAGCACCTGATTTCTTTCGCAAAATTGCACGAAAAATGCGATGATTAAGCGCTCGCCCTGGGATGTATTTTACTACATTTACTGCTGTAGTTAGATGTTGTTTTAAACTTTCTGGCAATGCTTTCGACGCAAGTGCATGACGATGTGCAACATGCAATGCGTTATTATAACTTCCGTTAATTCTCTTTTCATGTGTGAAAAAAATCCTGAATTTTTGCCTAACATTGCTGGGGCTCCATCAGTGAATATTGAGCCAATCACATTCATTGGTAATTGATATTTAGTAAAAAAATCTATGATGCGATTGAAAATATCAATTCCTCTCGTATTCACCTCCAGTGGCTCACAAAATAGAAATTCTTCTGTGTCACCTCTTTTTCCTTCACATACCTGACAAATACCAAAAGTTGGCTACAATTATCAACATCAGTTGACTCATCCAGTTGCATGCTTATTTTTAGTAGACTGATTTTTATGTCTTCAATTACTTGCATTAGAATATCTTCACTGAGATCTTGTATTCGCGATCCGTATAATATCATTCGATAATGGAATCTGTTGGATTTTTTTATGTGCTTCCAAATCTAAAACTGTTTTAGAGCAATAATTAAAGCAGAAGGTTTAATCAACTCTTCAGCGATCGTGTGAGGTTTCTTTCTTTTTCTTTTTTTCTTTTTTCTTTTCTTTTTTCTTTTTTTTTTTTTCACATAAATATGCTACTTGATATGACGCTTCAAATAAAGGATATGACGCTTCACATAAATATGCCACTTGATATGACGTCTGCATAATTTTAGGATATTTCCACTGGTATCAAACCGAGCCTTCTTTGACTTCCAAGCTGTTCATGCTATGTGCTTTTTCGCCACCATGCACATTGTTGAAATCCTCTAATAACTTTGATGGTTTGAGATTGCTGTTTGAAAATATTTTGGAACACAAAATGCATTGCGGTCGTTGCATGCCATCTTTTTCGGTTGTGCAGGTAAATCCATAACCGGCATATTTATCGTTCCATTGTCGTTTTTTTTTTACATAGTAGGGTTCACTATAATCGATTTAATTATTTAGAAATAATGTAATATAATATATATATAATGTTCTTACGTTTGTAATATCACTGAATCCTATTCGGCTTGAAGGGGCAATTAAGAATGTATTAGTCTTCAAGAAGGTTTCTGGACAAGTCATAATACACAATACACATGTCGCAGACACAATAGTTGACTCAACTTGACTCAGCTTAACACAGGCGCAGTAGATGCAGATACAAATCTGTGAATCCGTAGATTTCATTGGAGTAGCACATGTTGAACTCAGCGCATGCGCAAGCTGGGATAACGTTCTCTGCTTGTTTCGTGACTTCGTGGCTATCGAGGTTTCTTGAAGGTCACGCTTGTATTCCCACAAAGTTTTTTTTTTCTTTTCTTTGTCACCTAGCTGCCTGTTTGCATTCGTTTGTAGCGTTTCATGCCTTTTCGTAGCGTAGTGTATATGCCCATCGGCACCGGCTCTTTCCTGTGTCTTTTGCCAATAAGTGAGCTAGGTGCTACCAATTTTTATGAGCTTCAGTATTGGGTACACTATTGCAGATTTCAAATATTTCATTATAAGAAATTTAATAAATGATATTTAATAATTTTTATCGTTAAGTAGGGGCTTCTCCCGCACCCCCAAAAATACAGGGGTGCGGGCACCCCCGGTTAAGAACCACTGTGCTGGCGTATAAGACGCACTTTTTTTCTTTGAAATTAGATCTGTAAAACGGCAAGCGTCTTATACGTTGATACTCAGTTTTTGATTACGTTCATTTCTGGAAGTTTCCTCTATTCAGAGTTATGTGATTTTTTTCTTGTTTCCTTGCAGAATGTGAGAATATTACAGTTACATAGAGTTCAGTGAATATGCATGCACTGTCATTGATGATCACAGCTGTGTACATTTAAACTTACCAAGTAAAGGACTTTTAATTGTGTGAAGTTTCTACTGATCTGAGTTTCAGTTTTCTTAAATTTGTTGGCTAGTTATGGCTCAAAAACAACTTTTGCAATGCTATAACATAGCATACAAGCTACGTGTGATTGCGTATACTAAAGAACATGGAAACAGGGATGCAGAGAGGCATTTCAGGCCATCCCCAAATGAGAAAATGATAAAAACTTGGCGGAATCAAGAGAAGGATCTAAAAAAATCAACTAACAATAAACATAAGCTACTACGGGTAACTCTGCAAAATGGTCTGAACTTGAGGCAGAGCTGAATACTTGGATTTTAGACCACTGAAGAACGGGACTTTCAGTCTCTACAAAAATGATTATTCATCAGGCTAAAGCAATTAAAAGGTGTTCTTTCCCAGATAGATTGGGTATTTGCAGAAAATTTTACTTTGTATTTTATTACTTTATATTTAAAATTCTGTAAATTCATTATAATGATCAATAATAAAATTTTATCCATGAAAAAATGTGTATAAAAAAGGGAGTGCATCTTATATGCCGATAAATATGGTAAGTTTTGCTAACAGTTAGTTTCATGTTAATTTCTATCCTAATTTCTATTTCTGCCATAATATTCACTCGGATCAGAGGTTTGTGCAAATTGGTGTGGCATAGTTTAAAAACAGGATAGTATCCCATGAGTATAAAACTTTATCCATGATGCCCCCCTGGTCTTGAAATTTGCTTTGTGATCCTGCATAATTTGATGTTTAAGTTTTACATTTGAATTTTATTCTCTGTATTATTAGCTAACCAGTACAATAGGTGGTAACCAGTACGATAGGTCATTATGTATAGCTTCTCAGGATCCCATAGAAGATATAACTTTTCTGTTGTTGTTGTTACTGATGCTCACTTGTTTGACAGTAACACCTGCCCAAGCCCATAAAATTCCTCGTGGCAAGGTGCAAAGTTTACGCCTGATGTTGGCTACAGCCTTGAGCTCCTTACAGGTGACCGTACGACTTAGCTCATTTCCGCCTCCAATTTTGATGGAGGAGACAGGTAGAGGGTCTTCCACCCCACTTCCCTTCCACAAGCCACATGGGAGGACTTTCGGCTAGCTACATATTTAGAGTACCGCCATGCCGCACCGACACTATACATTTACAAACATCCATGCCTTCTCCAGTATTCGAACCATGGCCCTTCGGAAGGCAGTCAGCAATGCTAACCACTATACTGGTTGGGTGGCCATAGCTTTTCTTCCTAGACTCAGTGGTGGAGAACTATTGGCAATGTGTGTTAGACTTGATATATAGGTGATTTTTATCATGCAGTCTAGTGTTCACCTTAAAAAATCTTAAAGTGAATAAATAAATAAATACCTTCTTCCCCAGATATTATAAAATTGCATGAAATAAAACTGCTGATATTTTCGTGTATAAATGTGATGATTTAAAAAATATGGTTGATTATATTTGAAACTAGCTCTTCAGTTTAGTGGTGGAAATAGGCTGATCTTATAACTTGGAAAACACTAAATAGGTTGAACCATAGATTTGGGAAATGTTGAAAAGGAATTATTACACAAAGGAGTAATAGAAGGAAGACCTAAAAACAAAATATCAAGGATTTAGAACAAAATTTTGCTGCAATGTTTATATTTCAGTGGATCATTGTTATTATCAGTGTTAAGCAATTGTATAGGGATGACCAAAGCTTGTTCACAGTTCAGTAGAATTTCTGAATTAAACTGCAGGTAACTGATGAACATTGAACTATCTGAACAGATGTAATCCTCAATATGAAATTAGTAACTCTTGCATATCTCTGAAAGCTAATTGGAAACCATACGCATATCTGACAAATTCCATAACTAAAATTTTCCACAGTTAATTTTAAGCGAACATTCGTAAAATTACAGTTGTGACTTCATGCCATAATTTTCGCATGCGCGTTTAACGTATAACGGACGGTATAAGCTGAGCTAAAATTATCTAATTCAGTTAATGTTGCAGATTGCGTTGTTCCTTAATCTTCGAATTGGATCAGGCTTATTATTTTTTGCAGACTGTTAGAGCAATTTTATAAAAGTAAGCTTGAACTTTCGATTATGTCAAACAGAATTTCCGATATATATTTACTAATATGTACAGGATCTACAAAGCAAAAGTATGTTTCGAAGTCCATTAAACAAAAAGTGGAATTGCTGCAAAAAATGGAAAAAGGCATATCCTTTGTTTCTTAACCATTCCGAAATCTGTTTATCAATTTCATGCTGCTCTGCGGGGGGGACATCGCAGCGCGCAATGAACTGGAAGTTGATTTGTCAGCACTATCCTTATCTTCAGGGCAAATGTTTTTATTTTATTCGGCTTATAATTCCTTACTAAATGTAGTATTTCATCTCGATGTATTCCGTCTTTGATATGATTTAAATCAAATTCCTTGTCATTATAAATATCACAAGTACACATCAAATAGTTTTCTGGTTGCAATTTTCTAATTTCGACTATGCTTAATGTATGCTTTACGCATGTGCTTGTTGAAAGAAATGTTTAATAAAGTAAACAAATAAATATTAAGCTTTTTTTTGTAAATTTTGATACCCTTTAGATCATAATTGTTCTTTATTTCATAAATAACGGTTTCATATTTTTAATTGTATAATTTCTTCATGCCATCTTACCAGATTTAAACTGATGATCTATAATCCGGAATCGCCAAAGTCCCGACGAGTCCGGATTAACTACTTTTGACTGTAAAAAAATTCTTTCACCCTTTTATTATTGTTTCATAAGATTAAAAAAATTTCATTTGTTTATTTTTTGCGCTATTAAAAACTGAAACGCTTACATTGAAAAAACAGGGAAAGTTATTTGGTTTTTAATACTAGACTGCCCTTCAGCCCTAAGCAGAAAACTTTGGCACTATTGCCATTATTAATCAGCCCATCAGAAATTTATCCAGTTGGCCTTTTATCTTTTTTAACGAGTAGTAACATAATTTTAATATATTTTATTATACTCTTCATCATGTTTAGCAAATTACAATTATGCCTTGTTATATTAACCTTGCTGTAAAAAATTGTATTTCAAATTCATACTAATACATTTTCTTATTTCTGTAGAATACTGTTAGCAGATGTTTGGCTGTATGTATTGGAAATGAACAACAGGATTCACATGAATTCCTAGTAGTTCTGATGGAGAAATTGCATGCAGATTTAAATAAGGTATCACTTTAGAATATGATCTTTTAAAACTTTTCTTTAATCATGTTTTATTACCTATACTTAATGCTAAAAAACTTAATTATCTAAAAATTACATAACCGAGAAACCTGATGAAATAAAATATATAAATTATATTTTACTTACAGAATGCATTTTATTTATGCATTTGAATTTTTGACCAATTTCTTATTATGAAAAGCAGAGCTGGAACGAGGATGGGTGAAGAAATAGAGGGAGCACAAAATTAGCTATGAAGATTGAGAAATTAATTTTAAAAAAGAAATTATGGATTTAATTTTCAACTGTGGGATGTACCAGCAAATATGACAGTTTTGAGTTATAAACAATCCACCTGAATGAAGGAGGATAAATGACATTAATTTATTCTTTAAGAGAGGAGTCCAAGTAGTGTGTATATTAATTTCTAACATTAAAATTTATTATTGGAAGTAGCACACTGAAGTTAATTTACACTTATTGTAACATGCACAGAAAAAATCATACTGCTAACATTAGTAATTCGTTAATCTGTCTCCCATTAAGTTGTACTGTTCCTCCTTCACCGTAACAAGCTTTCCAAACCAAGTCTACTAATTGAGCATAGACGGCAGTGCATTTGCAGGCAGCTTTTTGCAGCATAACACACAAACGCCCATTAGAATAACACTAGGAAACTGAGTGAGTATGTTTGAAAATGAAATATGCCTTATTATTGATATATATTTAGCCTAAAGGGCATTAGCCCCCCCCCAGAAGGGCTATTAATTTTTAATTTCAATTTGGCACTTTGCATTGATTCACTATAAACGGCAAATCACTTTTTAAATTGTTGCTGCCAAATATTAGAGCCATGTATTGTATTTAAAGAAATTAAATAATGAAGAATATGCATAAATGTATGTTGTATGTTTCTTGCATTGTAATAAAACAACTGTACCTTGGGCCATCAAATTTTGAATAACGTATGTCTCCGCCTGAATATGGGCATCTAGAAGCCTGAATTTGGAATTTGTTTTATTATCTATTTCATATTTTTGTAAAGCATTTTTAGTTTTTGATTAAGAAACTCAACGATTTCAAAGCTAGCCATGGCAACACTACAGAGTGGGGGAGCATTTTTATCTCCAGCGTACAAGACTGTGCATTGGAAATTCTAAAGATGTGCTCTTTAAAAATTATTTTGTGATATTGCTGTTGAATTGAATTTTATCGTTTAAGTGCAAAGAACATGATATTTAATAAGTAAAGGTAACACATAAAATGTTAAAAAAACACCCATTTGGGTGTAATATGAAATCTGAAAGCTTTCAGATTTTTTTATTTTATATATGCTTTTTTTTAAAACTATTTTAGAGGCATGGAAGATCAGTAACAAAGCTGGAAGAATCAGCAGATGAAAATGCTTTCTGGCAACATCATAAAAGTTATAACTTTTCTAAAATATCTGAAATTTTCGAAGGCTTGCTAAAATCAACATTGACCTGCTTGTCATGTAGGAAAACATCAGATAATTATGAAGTTTTCTCCTGTCTTTCTCTTCCTATTTTAGGCTCCAGATGTTCTTTAAAAGTAAGTGGAATTTTTAATACTTTTGATTAAGGGATTAATGTTATAAAAATTTGACATATTGCATAATATTTCTCAGAATTTATCTGAGTATATGTACATTTGATTAGCTTTATCTTTCTCCATCAAAATAGCACCTATTGAAATAGAATTACTGTTTCATAAAGCAAAAGAAACTATCTTTTTGAACTTGAAGCTTTTAATCTTTTCTTTTATGTCATTCGTTTTCGCATGCAGTAAAATCAAATGGTAAACTTTAAAATATCAAAATTATGAGAACTTTTGTGTGGCACTTCATATATTAACCAATATTATTTTTTAAATGTACTTCAAATTTAAAATATTTTTAATTCAAATTGCAAAAATTTAAAGATTTCATATTTTTGGATCTGTGAATTTATTAGTCACTGTCAAAACAACCATTTATGTATTGGAGAGAATTCAATCCAAATCTTGCTTTTATGCTATGGCAGAGTTGCCAACTCTCCCGATTTTCGGCCGCTCTTCTGCCAACCTGATTTACAATACATTTCTCTCAACTTTCTTATTCTTAAAATTCCTCAGGATTTTTATGGAACTTGGCTTAATACTTCATTATATGAACAAAAAAAAAGTGATTTTCGATGTCTGAAAGCAATTGAATTTTCTCTAAATTATATCTAAAACAAAACCTTGCGAATCAGATGAGAATTTCTGGTTTGTGAGCGAGAGCATACGTATCCAGAAACGTCGTTCTCCAGTTTTCCAATAGACGTCGAGCTCCACTATGTGTCATCTAGCATATATTAGCCAATGAGCACAAAGCAAGCTCAAGGCTATTATTTGGAAGTTCTTTAGTTATTTCATTCATCTTGTCCTGAGTTGTGTGAATGCACGTGCGTTCGGGAAATAGTTTTAGAAATTATCATCTTTTGTTATGTCTGCGAGAAAGGTGAAATACTCGTGTATGTTTCGAAAATCTTACATTTCCTTCCATTATTTCCTCAAGGAAATGTAATAAATGTGCGATGTGTACCCTCTGTTGTTGCGATTTTTCGATTTCACATGGTGGAAGGGCGGATATTCTCAAACATGTGCGTACACAAGGACAACATAAGTTGTTTTGAAAAAAACAAAAAATTAAATTTTTCTTTGGAAACAAAGGACCAAAAAGGTATTAATGCAGAATTTCTGTTCTCTGCCTTTTTACTGGAGCACAACCTGCCACTGAATGCATCGGATCACGCTGCAGCTTTATTTAGAAAAATGTTTCCCGATAGTGAAATCGCTAAGAAATACTCAAGTGCAAGGACCAAAACAGGTGTAATTTTTAAAAAAATGGATTTGAAAAATAAATCTTCAGTTACTGATTGCATTAAAACAGCTCCGTTCTGCCCCTCTACAGATGGAAGCAATAATACCGATTCAAAACTATATCCAATTGTTGTTTCTTTTTTTAATCCAGAGTCTTCAGAAATTGAGTACAGTTTGCTTTCTGTCCCCACTTTAGAAGGACATTCGACAGGCTTTAATACAGCACACCTAATTATTAAAACTTTAAAAGAAAATGCAATCCCTCTGGATAATTGCTTAGCACTTGTTGCCGATAATGCACCAGTAATGGTAGCCTTGAAGACTGGTGTTGCAGGCATCTTAAGAAAGGAAAATTCAGATTTGCAGATTATGAGGTGCACCTGTCATTGAATAATTGCTTAGCACTTGTTGCCGATAATGCACCAGTAATGGTAGCCTTGAAGACTGGTGTTGCAGGCATCTTAAGAAAGGAAAATTCAGATTTGCAGATTATAAGGTGCACCTGTCACCTCTTAAATTTAGCAGCTGAAAAAGGGACAGCTTCTTTACCAATAAATGTGGATGAACACATTGTTGATATTTATTATTATCTTGAAAGAAGTTCTAAAAGGAAGGAAAAATTGAAACAGTTCCAACAACTGCATAATACTGAAATGAGAAAAATTGTGAGACATGTGTGTACATGCTGGCTGTCTTTAAAGAAATGTTTATCTAGAATCCTCGATCAATGGTACCCACTTCTTGCATTTTTTAAAGAAGTAAATACTTTGAGAGTTAAGATAAAAGGTTCTATTGAAAGTTATAAAATACCTAAAGTAAATAGAGATGTAGTTATTACTTCCATTGTTAAAAATAGGTTTGAGAAAAATAAAGTAATTTCTGCACCATTCAGCAATTCAACTGGCAGCTCTCAAAAGAATACTGCAAAATATAAACGTAAAGCTGATACAAATTTCTTTCAAAATAAAAAAAATTGCTCAACACATGAAGCATTTTCTGATTACTGTAAGTTTATCTTGTGAAGAATGAATATTTATGTTTTTTTCTTCAGACCTTAACAAAGCATTTTGCTTTTTTTTACAATTCATTTTGCCATCATTCGATGTTCTTAACACAGTTCTACAAAGCAGAATTCCATTAATTCATGTTTTGCAATCAATGATTTATGATCTGTTTAAAGACATTTTATCAAAGTTTGTAAAACCAGTCTGTGTTTTGTCTTGTAATTCTATATATGATGTGATTTGTGGTGAAATAGAAAATCAGAAGAAAGATGAAGATTTGGGTAATAGGAGCTGCAACTACAAAAGTAGTGGAAGAACTTTCAGAAGAAGAACAAAACTAGTTTATCTTCATGTTAGAAGTTACTTCTGTCGAGAATGTGATTACATACTACATAAATTTCCAATCAACGATGAAGTGATTTTGCATGCTAAAGTTGCTGATGTTTCTGCTCTAGCAAATGCATCTTTTTCTGATATAAGGTACTTTTTTTAACAGATTTCCTGTGTTACTTCTTTTAGTCATGAAAAATGATGATATTGATGTTGCCACTGATATATTGCAGTCACAATTTTGTAGGTTACAATTAGAAAACTTGGATGAAGTCATAAAATCAGCTAGGATTGACACTCAGTGGAGTTTAATTGAAAAACTGAAAGGTGCTGATGGAATTTTAAAATATAGTGAACTGTCTAGAATTATGTTGGCCATCTTGACAGTTCCCCATAGTAATGCAGAGTGTGAGAGGATTTTCAGTGTTGTGAAAACGAGGACTAAATATAGATCTAATATTAGTGATTACACATTAGAAAAACTTTTATTAGGGAAAGCAGGCCTACGTGGCAATAGCTATAAACAAAATTAAGAAATTTCTTTCTTAACAAAAGCAAAATCTGCCACTGTTCATAACATTTGTATGAAAACTGGTTAAAGTGCCCTTTTTTTTTTTTTCCTTAAAGGATGCAAGTATTAAAAATGCATTTTATGTGTAAGGTATTTTTGTGTTGCTTGCATTTAAGAATTAGTAACTATTTAAAGTTAATTCATTATTAAAAACTATATTTTTGTCATTTAAAAAGTCTTTTTAACATTGTGAAAAATCTCCTGATTTTTGAGTGTTATAGGTTGGCAAGTATGCTATGGAGAGTAGTTTTGGTTATTAGTTATTTTACTCTACAAAAATTAAGAGATTTTTGTCATTAATTTAGTATCAAACTGGTTAAATCAGAATATTATAATTAGTTATAAATGCCATTTATTGCAAAAAGTTAACATTTTGTCACTGTTATAAAATTGGTTAGAGGAATTACAGTTATAAACATTAATTACTATTTATAAATTACAATTTACAATTAAAATTTACAATTGTAACTTGCAATTTATAATAATAAACATTACAATTTATAAACTCTTTATAATTTCGTACAGATAATTAATTTTTGAAAGATAGATATTTTAGGTAATTAATTTTAGATTTTTAAGTAATTAATTTTGTATTTAATTTAATAATTATTTAAAATTAACACAGTGATTTTTCATAGTACACAAAGTTAATCCGGACTCGTCGGAACTCGGCGATTCCGATTATAGATCATCAGTTTAAATCTGGTAAGATGGCATACAGAAATTATAAAATTAAAAATATGAAACCGTAATTTATGAAATAAAGAGCAATTATGATCTAAAGGGTATCAAAATTTACAAAAAAAGCTTAATTTTATTTGTTTACTTTATTAAACATTTCTTTCAACAAGCCGCATGCGTAAAGCATACATTACGCATAGTCGAAATTAGAAAATTGCAACCAGAAAACTATTTGATGTGTATTCGTCATATTTATAATGATGAGGAATTTGATTTAAATCATATCAAAGGCGGAGTACATCGAGATGAAATACATTTAGTAAGGAATTATAAGCCGAATAAAATAAAAACATTTGCCCTGAAGATGAGGATAGTACTGACAGATCAACTTCCAGTTCATTGCACACTGCGATGTCTCCCCATCACAGAGCAGCGTGAAATTGATAAACAGATTTCGGAATGGTTAGAGAAACAAAGGATATGCCTTTATCCATTTTTTGTAGCAATTCCACTTTTTGTTTGATAGACATCGAAACGTGCTTTCTCTTTGTAGATCCTTTGGCAGCTCCAGAATCGGAAATTCTTATTGACGTAATCGAAAGTTCAAGCTTACTTTTATAAAATTGCTCTAACAGTCTGCAAAAAATAATAAGCCGGATCCAATTAGAAGATTAAGGAACATCGCAACCTGCAACATTAACTGAAATAGATAATTAGATAATTTTAGCTTAGCTTATACCATCCATTATACATTAAACGCGCATGCGTAAAAATATTATGCGCATGCTTAAACGCAAAATGCGTTTACGCATGCGCAGAAAGTTTGTAGTTTTGAGGTCCGGATTAAAGACTTTTGACTGTATGTACTTTGAAATATCAAAGTAAGATTTGCATCATTTTATTTGCAGTTTTTTTTTAGTAGGTTAAGAAACTTCAATAAGTATCAGAATAGTAAGAATCTGTAAATTTCTTTTTACACTTGTAGTTTGTAAACACTTCTATAATATAAATTTTAGTAATGTAATTAGTTTGAAATTGGATGTACTCAATCAATTATTTAAACATTTTAATCATCTAAATAATTTATGTATCCAAATTTCTCATTCCATTGTTACATATTTTTATGCTGTATAATCTGATTCTGATTTTAGAAAAACCTTTAAATATTTAGATAAAGTACCATATGTGTTTCGTAATAATTGTGTTATGTATATATTTCTTAGGAGTGCTTTCAATATTTTTTGAAATCCGAAAAGATATATGGTGAAGCTGCTTGGGATTGCCCCAGGTGCAAGCAAAAGAAAGAGGCTGAGAAGCGCCTGCGTATTTGCCGCTTGCCAAATATTTTGGTCATTCAGTTGAAAAGGTATAATTTTTCATTTTTAAATTTTTGGTCTTAAATTTTATAATGCTGTTTTAAGTGGCCATTTTTATCGATCTGTACTGATTTCGAAGAAGGTATGGATGTTTGTATTCTCCCCTTCTCATGGGTATTATATCAGCTACTCTTTGTAGTACATATTCTCATTGATGAAGTGGCTAAATAATCAATGACCCCCCCCCTCCATTCTTGGCTAGTGCTTAAACAACAAAAAATGGTAGGACATTTGAAATGGTAGGTTGAAAAGAAAGAAAATGTAATAGAGGTTATTTATGTATTTTTCCTGAAAATAAATCAAAGGTTTTGTCAGTCAGTTGCTTTTATATGTATATTTATATGTATGCATGTGTGTGTATTTATATATATAATAAATACAAAAACATTATCTCTTTCATACAAAGCTAATTAAAATTTTAAATTATGGAAATTCAATTGTAAACAAATAAAAGATAAATTATTGATGCAAACTAATTTGAAATATTCAAATTCAGAAAGCATAAGTAAATTAAGTGCAAGCATCCTTAATACATGAAAAAAATATTTAATAATCCATAAATTAATTCTAAAACTTTAAATAATTTTATTAGATATATATATATATATATATGTAATATAAACAAACTCAGAAGTAAGGACCAGCAGGAATTTTGATAGCATAGAAGTGTTGATCCATAATGAATAAAAAATTGGAGGCAAAAGCAGATTAAATCTTCATTTTTTATTTCAGCAAACATGTTGTGGCCACAATCAAGTTGGCAGTTTAAATGTGCCTATTCCAAAAAGTTTACATTTTTTATATATTTGCAGTAAGACAGAAGGAGCAGACAGACAGCAGTCCAGCTAGGTCAAAGCGTAGAAAGCAAGTGCATTATGTTCAGGGTGAAATCTTAATTCAGACTGAGTTAGTTTTGCTTCTCAGTACATTTTGATTGGATAGTTAATATTGCTGTAAAATTACTATTGGCTGCTTGAGTTTTAGTTCCATTTACATCACCAGAATTGTGTAAGAGTCATATGACATGGATTAATCTAGAAATGAGGCAGTGCAGAGAGAGGTTACTATTTTTAGAATTGAGAAGGGAAATTTATGTTTCTAATTTAATCTTTTACATATTCTTTATTTTTCTTACATATTTATATAGATATATACATATTGAAAATAAACAAAGCATTTGCTAATGGTTTGTTTCTTGTAGATTTTCCTACGAGGGCTTATGGAGGAGAAAATTACAGACTCACGTAGACTTTGATCTAGTTTTGGATGTGCCTTGTGAAGAAAATGGTGAAGAATGCCTCCAGTCATATAGTTTATATGGTATTGTGGTAAGAAGAAAAGTTATTTTAGCTTTTTTTTTTTTATTATTATTTGCTAATAGCCATATCATGTAATTTCTTGTTTTATTTTACAGATTATGTTTAATAAAGTTTTATTAGTTCTTAATACTGAAATTGCTTTTTTTTTTTTGTTTTTTTTTTTTTTTTTTTTTTTTTTTTTTTTTTTTTTGGTAAATAAGTAACTTTTTTCTTATGTTCATTTAATAGTCTTATATATAATTTTATTTCTTCTTCGTAGAATCATTATGGTACTTTGGAAGGAGGACATTGTAAGTATGAAAATTTATAAATAATCATGTGAATTTTTAAATAGTGAATTTATTTAAAATTGTATAAAGATATTAATATGTATTTGATTAAAAGATAGTTAGGGATTTGAGTAAAAAATCTATTGAACGTTTTTATTTTTTTACCGCCATTATGTTTATAAAGTACATGCTATTTATTACTAGAAAAAATATTCATATTCTACAGTAGGTGAAAAAAAAAAGATTCATTAATTCATGATCTTTATTTCAGTTTTGTTTGTACTATATTGTGTTGTGATTTCCTTTTTAATATTCATTGACTTTTCTCTTGTTAAATAATTCCTCTAATCCTCTGATTAGTGAACTCTTAAACTTTTTTTTAATTCCATTTATGTGGAATTATTTTATAATAAGACAACTAAAACATTATGACCACTAATGCGTTGCACGACCTTTGATCTGCAAAACAGCTGCAACTTGCATTGGCATGGATGCCACAAGTTCTTGGTAGATGACTGTGGACAGGTTGTACAAATGTCTAAGCAGCGGTCATGCAAAATCGAAATATTACGACATGATGGTGTTTGAGCTTTGAGTTGTTGGTCCATGGCATCCCAAATGTGCTTTATCAGGTTAAGATTCAGCAAGTTAAGTGGCCTGGACATTTATTGGAATTCATCCAAATGCTGCTTGAACCAACTCCAACACAATTTGAGCCTTGTGGCATGGGGCATTGTCCTGCTGGAAGATTCCATTTCCAGTTGGAACAAAAGATGCATGTAAGGGTGCAACTGATCCACAGTTATGTTGAGAGAGTCAACAGATTTCATGCCTATTTTACCACAGCTAAAGGTCCCAGAGCCGCCAATGAAAACATCTCCCATGGAAGACTACATAACCTGACATGACCATCAATGTAATGAATGAGAAATCATGATTCATCCAAAGGCAGCTGTCTTCCACTTTCCATCGTCCAGTCCCAATATTCCTGTGCAAGCACATGAGTGGGATGTCTGTTGTGCAGACCCATACCCAACATTGTCTGCTGAACTGTGTGTTCTAAAACACTTATACTTGGACAATCATTGTATTCGGCTGTCAGTTGAGCCACTGTCTGGCGTTGATTTTGCTGTACCAAGCAAGTCAGTCTCCGGTGTCTTTTTCTTTGATGGCACATGAGCGTCTTAACACCTTGGCTTCTACTGCTGGTTTAATCATTTAGCCACTTTGCATAAAATACTAGCAGTGGCAAGTCATGAACAGCCTACCAGTCGTGCAGCTTCGGAGATACTTGTTCCAAGTCTTTGGACCATTACAATCTGCCCTTATCAAATTTGCTTAAATCAGCAGCCTTTTCTATAACTTACAAAAGTAAGTACAGGAATGATTCCTTACTTTCTCTAAGCAGCAGTTAAATACCATTCCCTCTTAGTCACACGCCCTCCATATCGTCCAGACGAGTTCATTGAAAAATGTGGTAATCAGTGTATGTTTGAATAACAGAGTCGATATTTTTGAGCTGAACATATGCTATAAATGTCTCTTGCTGTTATTGTGTGTTGTTTGATTAAACTTTAAGCATTGCTGTTTTCTGTTTAATGATGTAAATCAGGGGTCTGCAAACCTTTTTTGGGGATTGGGGAAGAGCCAGATTGGGAAAATTTTAGACTTGGCTACCCCCCCCTTCCAAAAATATATTCAAAAACTCTTTTTTTTTAGCAAATGATATTTTTATATTTTTGCAGGATGTTTATACACATTTGCTGATGCTTACAAAAAAAATCCATTTATTAATAAGCATGTGTTTAGTCCCGATAAGTTAAATTTTATACTTATTACATGGATGCAGTTGATTTTTCTGAGATAACGTTTTATAATACTGAAGTTCAAAGTCTGTACTTCCTGTCATTAGCATTTTTTGCAAATGGTCATATGTTAATAATTGATATGTACTGTGATTTTAAATACTTCATTTCAAAAATATCCTTTTGCATTCATAAGTACTCCCAAATATAGGTATAAATCTCATATTTATAATTTTAATTGATCATATTTATTTTTTGAAAGTTATTTATTGTTGGATTAGATAAATTTTTCAAACATCATATTTTGCATATCATCTTACAGATTAGTCGTTTCTAACTGAAAGTCTTGGGGAAGCTTCTGTACAAGCACATTTTTGAAAAATGGAAGTATCTTTTGCACTTGTATTGAGATCCAAAAAATGCTGTAGTAACTGTAGTTTTATGTTCAGAAAACATATCTGCTGCAAACTTTGGGAGTATTTTTGTTGTTTTGCTAATACGTGAAATTTTTACAGCATAGAATTTGTTTAATGTATCAAACTTGTTCAATGTGATTTGTTTTTCAAAGAACAGAAATTTTCAGTAATGGGACTTTATGATAGAATATTTTTCACATATAAGCATTGTTTTTCCTTGTAATGCAAAATTACATTTGTTAAGATGTCTGTAGCAAATGCTAATTTCTATAGCCATTCATTGTGCAGTAATACTGTGAGTGGGCATTTTTCCTCATGTAGAAAATTTTCTGTTATTTCTCTTAGTTCAAAATATCTCAGTAAGACTTTTCTGTTGTTGACCCATTCGTCAAACTGCTGCATAGTTGTGCAAGTCAGAATAATTTAATTTAGCTTTGATCTCTAATAAAAAATCATGAAATTGAAGATTGTTAAGTTAATGAGAGAAAATAAAATTAATCAAATCACTGATGCAATTAGTTCAGTGATAAATTGTTGTGTTTCCTGCAAAGAGCCTGCTGGTTAATATTTCAATGAATTACCAGAGGTTTTGGACATTTAGCCTCTTCACAACCTTTAAAAATTTGTCCAACTAGTCCTTTCCTCGTTTCGCACATATTTATGCAAGGTGGATTTTTCATGAAAACCTCCATCCTTATAAGTTGGCTGTATTATAAGTATTCACTGCATTTGATTTTGCTTCTTAGGAAAATGCATGGGAAACGTTTCTTAAAACTGTATCTGATAACACAGTTGTGTTCTTTAGTGACGAGGCTCATTTTTATCTTTTTGGATGTGTGAACAGGGAAAACATGGGCTACTGGAGTGATAACAAACCCAGAGCCCATTTGAGGCCCCTTCATTGTGAATGTATAACTATTTTGTCAAGAGTAAAAATTATTGGTCCCTTCATTGAATTTGCAGTTTCAGTGTATTGTGATCATTATGTGAACAAGATTGAAGAGTTTTTTTTTTGTTTTGTTTTTTTTCCCCCTGCAAAATTTTGACAGAATGAGTGTTGGGAATAGTTTTAGTGGGATGAAGCTATGATACACATGGCACAAACTGCAGTGAGGTTTTTGTGGGAACACTTTCCTGGGCCTCTGAACTTTTTGAGGAGAAATCTTCAGAGCCACTGCACTCACGTGATTTCAATTTTTTCATGGGAGTATCTGAAATCATTCGTGTTCACCTATTGTCTAGGAAGTCCTGCACACCTAGTATTTGTCATGCAGTAGCCAACATACAAATCAATACACTGGATAAAGTCAACCGACATTTCTGAAATTGATTACATCAGTTTATCACCAACGGGGTTGCCACTTGCTGGATACGATTTTTAAAACAGTGTTGACTGAAATTTCCAATATTTTAGAATAATGAGAATAAAGCATTAAATGACAACTACTAATATCATTGGTTTAGTTGAGCCTTCAAATTACCAAATTATGCTGTCGCACTTTGTACAAGTGTCAGTTCTTATTATTGAAAAGCCCTTTTAAAAAAAGACGTTTTTCTCTTAGTTGCCTATTTCTCTACATTCTACATCTGCTTTCAAAATTAAACTCTTTATGGTCAAACCGTTGCTACAATTATTAAAAATATTTAATTAAATCTTTTATTAATGTATTATCCTCCTTCCCCTAAGAAATGACTGATTGCGTACTGTGAGTAAAGATATGCTTTGGGTTGATATAAACTACTCTGAATATTTAAAAAATATATGTATATATAGTTAAATTGGACTAACATTTTGTTTTTTATATATGCAAACTATGTAAACTAAAAAGCACAAATTTTACAGTTATATATATATGTTATACAGTATTTGATTTATTCTCCTTTTTATTTCATTTAGTTACTAAAAACAAAAATAAAAAACTCTTAAAATGTGTTAAATTATAATTTAACAATTTTCCTCTTCTTTCATATAGACACAGCGTACTGTAATGCATTATCTAACAAATGGTACAAATATGATGACCATGAAGTCTCTGAAATTAATGTATCTGATATAAAGGCAAGTTTTACTTTATTTAATATTATTGAACTCTACTGTTTCTGTTATTGTCCTTTTTTGAAATTTCCAAATATCCCTTTTTCCTAGACAAATTTAAATCTGTTGGTCATGTTATTAACATATAGTTTTTATTATGCTTTGTACGTTGCTTAATAGATTTAACATCAGAATTATTATAATGGTAAACAAGTAATTTTATACAAGGAACAAAGTTCATTTAATGCATTGCAGTCAGTCTGCATAAAAGAGTACTGAAAATTTGTTTGCATGCAGCAGTACACTTTCAGCATAAAAATAGGCTGTGAAATGGGTCAGTGAATGTTTTTTCTTCTGAGAAGTTAAAATTTTATAGAATTTGTAAATTATTTATTTGTCTTGATTTTATAAAAAATTGCTAACTGCAATAAACTTCCTTAACACAAACTCACTTAAGGTGAACACTTGGTTAACATGAACAAAATTTTGGTCTTGGCAGCGGTGTGTGTGATCTTGAAAGAAATTTTATTAGTTGACTTGAATTTCACTTAATGCGAATTACAAACTATTTTTTTGTCTGTTGCTGCATTAGACTTTTTAATTTAACATAAAATTTCAAATCTGCTAGGGTTGCATTGAAGAATGTTTTATCTTATTTAACTGAAAACCTCATAGAATACTCTGTGTTCTTTAAAACATAGCCAGTCTTGCTTAACAAGTAAATCATAGGTTCGAAAATCTGAGCCGACACTTTTTAAAAACACCAACATTTATTTTCACGCCATTTCTAATTCTACAAAATCTTAAATTCAACTAACTATCAATCAGAAAAGCAGACATAGACGTAATGATGCATCATCTGGGCACGTGATCCTCGTGACAGACGAATTCTTTAGGGTTGCCACAGAAAGGCAGTGTGTCGCCACAATTCTCCCACCTTTTGAGTGGATGGCTATACACTCAAAACATAAAACTTACATCAATATAAATGATGTTTATATAACAAAGAAAATTACTTAATACTTAAATCATATTACTTGAAAAATAAATTAATACTGAGGAATAATACAACAATAATAGCACAACAAAATAAATCATAATAACTCAAAGACATGAATTACATTATTCGTGATTTTACAACTCTACCACTACTGGTGGTGAAAGGAACTTGCTCATTTTGAGTATTATCTATTATATTATCCAGTTCCAATCTAAACAATCTCTGTATTGGTCTCAAGAACTCTGAATTATTACTTTTTAAAAGAGCAACTCTTATGTTGCCATCTCGACCAGGGATCACTCGAATAACGCATGCTAAATTCCAATATGCACGGTTTTTATTTTGATCCTCCAGCAAGACAATTTCTCCTACAGAGAGAGGTTTATTTTTGTAATTTCTGGTAGACTGCTGTCTTAACTGCCCTAGATACTCAGAGCGAAATCTCACTCTTAACAATTCTCTCATTCTCTGGAGATACTTCGCTCTTCTACTCAATTTTTCTTTGTCCACATTGTCAATATCAGGTACACCCGACTGTGGAGTTTCATGCAGAAATTTTTCTGGAGTTAAAGGCAAGGGATCTTCAATATCGTCAGACACGTACGTAAGTGGTCTTGAGTTGACAATTCTTTCACAATCACACAAGACGGTGAGTAACTCTTCATAACCAAGAGAAGCACGACCTAAAATTTTTCTTAATATTTGTTTTACAATTTGTATTAAACGCTCCCCACCATCCACCCCACCAAGCGGCGGATGGAGGATTAAATTTCCATTGTATTCTCTTTTCAGCAGCCTTAGAGCAGAGGCTGTCCCAGTCAATGGTTTGCAGAACTCTCTCTGCACCCACCCACAAAATTTGTTCCCATTATCGGAATATATGGTGGTAGGGTGTCCACGACGTGCGATAAAACGCCTTAAAGCTTGAAAAAATGATTCAGTTGTTAATGAGGTAACCAGTTCCATATGGATAGCACGATAAACCGCACAGGTGAAGAGCACAATATACGATTTTCGTCCATCCTTTAAATGCAAGGGTCCGGCAAGATCACACCCTACGATTTCAAAAATGGCTGAATCACGAACCCTATCATTTGGTAAAACGCCTGGGACTGTCTCACCTCTTTTAGCCTTAAATCTCTGACATGTTACACATTTTCTTATACAGTTCCTTATAGTTTTACGTGATTTTAAGATCCAGTATCTTTCTCTTAAATGCGACATCAATAATGTAGTACCTGCATGCAACAAATCTTTGTGTGCACTTAATATCAATAATTTGACTACTGGATGCTCAGAAGGTAATATGATGGGGAACTTAAAGCTGCTAGAGTCGTTACGATAAGCAACATTAGACTTAGCTCTTATTAGACCCTGACTATCGACAAATGGTCTGAGTCGTCTTAGCTTATCATCTGTTTCACCATTAAACGACTCTTTTTGTATTAATAACATTAAAGCTATTTCTCCCCTTTTTCTATTTCAGATACAGTCAAATCCTTAGAATGGTTGTTATTATTATTATTATTATTATTACGTACATTATTATAAAATCTGAATATCCATGATAACATTCTTACAATTTTCTTAAATGATGAGAAATACTTATAGTACCACCCAATACAATTATCACTCTTTGCCAGCATAACAATAACTGTCTTACGTATTTCTGAATTAACCAAATCCTCGTCTGGTTCATCATTAGATTTAGGCCAATTTGCCTCATCTTCCCGTAACCAATCAGGTCCCTCCCACCATTTTCGTTCTATTAATTGATCTGCATAACAACCTCTAGAAAGTAGGTCAGCAGGATTGAGACTACCAGGGAACATGTCGCCATACAGTGGGGGAGGTCAACGACCTGATTTCCTGTACACGATTAAAAACGAATGCTCCCCAACGTTGATTTCGCCGTATCCAACTTAAAGCCGTCGAGGAGTCAGTCCAACAATGAATACGAACTTCATGTAGGCCAATATCATTAATAACTGAAGACAATAACCTAGAACCAATATTACAAGCAAGAAGTTCTAATCGAGGAATCGTAATAGGTTTTAAAGGAGCTACTACTCTCGATCTTGCGTGTATCAAACTAACCTTCACCTTTTTGCCACTCTGTACTCTTAAAAAGACGCATGCACCATACGCACTTTTACTACTGTCACAAAAGAGATGTATACTCACAGCTTCATTAATAGATTTGAGACCTACCCATCTAGGTATTTGGATACTGGATAGCAAGTACAAGTAAACTTTTTTAAGCCAAAACTTAAACTTTTTGGTTAATTCATCAGGAAGAACATCGTCCCATTTAAGCCTTAAATTCCAAGTTTCCTGTAAAATTAGTTTTGGAATCAACATTACAGGAGCCGTATACCCTATAACGTCAAACACCTGATGAGCTACTGCTAAAACTAGTCTTTTAGTAACTGGGTCATCCAATTTTATATCTTGACTTATTTTGCAGGATAAGGTATCTGTAACTGTATTGTATGCCATACAAGGCCCAAAACAGACACATCTTCTTCCGTGGAGGAATCTTCCTCTGGCACAACACTTCTTATATTGGATTTCCAGAATCTTAAATTAAAATGACCCGAAGCCATAATTATTTGTGATTCATTTACAAACTTTCTCATTTCTATTTCTGAATCCATACTAGCCACACAGTTATCTACATAAAAGGATGTTTTCAAAATCTCCGCTGTATGACTTAAGCTTTCGGGAACTACACTCAAATGATATTGTATTGTAGCGGCCAATAAATACGGACTACACGTAATACCAAAAACTACCCTTCCATGCCGATACAGTTCAACTTGTTCTTGATTATCCCTACTGAACCACATAAATCTCAAAAAGTCTCGATCTTTTTCCCTTATAGATATTTGCAAGAACGCTTTTTCTATATCTGAAGTGACACCAACATAATTCTTGCGAAACCGATTAAGAATCGAAGGTATAATTTCTATTAAATTTGGTCCAGTAGATAAACAATCGTTCAATGATGGGTAACCAGGCGAATGAGAACTTGCATTAAACACCGGTCTTATACTCGTGCTACTATTTTCTTTAACAACTGCTCCATTATCAGGTTCAATGTTTCTTCTAACTTTCTTCGGAAACATACAATGACCTGACTAGAACAGAGAGCTTACTAAAGCTATGTTCACTAATTGTAGTAAGTGGACAGGATACAGACGAAGGGTATACAAAACCCTTTATTTTTTTTCTTTATATACAATGACTTCCGTACTTCGGAATACAATGACCCTCCACTCGGGGTCTAACTTAAAAGATATCAAAATAAAACTAAACTCTAATTTAACTTTAGAATAAGATTGGCCTTATAATAACAGAAAGCGTATGTAGCACAGAGACTGTGAACACTACAATACGTTTAATTTATCAAGAGGATTAAAACCTCTGGCCTGGAAGGCAAAGTAGCAACTGCGTAACTTCTAAGGTAAGCGGCCTGCTTCGAACTCACGGCTTCCTCTCCTCTGCTTGGCAAAAAGGCCACACTTAAATACTTGGCGTTCGCCAGACAACTTTGCATAAACTCCTTCACGCTTATAATTCTGGCCGGAAGTAGAAAATAAGAAGTGATAGTAAAGATTTAAAATAAAATAAACGTTAGTAAAACTTAAGATCCTTACATACTTCCCGCCAGAGTTAATTAGTTTGAAACTGAGGTCTAAAACGACCTTGTTGAAAACTTTTAGCTCTAGAAACTAACGCGAGGCCAACCTTTAACAAAAAATGCTTCGCTAGAAACTAGAAAATTTAAAAGAAAGAAATTTGTTACAATAGCAGCTCCCGGAATATACAACAATCTTTTTTCTTTTTCATCTGTACTGCATCAAAACAGGAGCTTTATTCAATTCTGGTTCCTTCCAGAGATCTGGAAGGAAAACTAGTTTAATGAAATGTTACAGAATGACATTGCAAATAACATATAGAATATACTTTTCTTAACATTCTTATTTCATTCATGACTATTTTAATTATCTCTCCCCGTGCT